CCCGAAAAATAAACATGAATAATGTTTTCATGTTCTGGCGCTACTTCAAAGTTAAAAAAAGAGTAGTTTTTAAATCATATGTTTAAACCTTTAACTACAGTGTTAGCGTTTCAATAGATTTCATCTGTATCACATTCACTGGATAACTTTAACGGTCCTCTGTAAAACTAAAAAGAGTTAAACTACAACCTTAACAGTTTCTGACGAACGACAACTGTTAAAAATATCTCACTTCAACTGAATAACTGACATATCTAAAATATAAATGAAGCTCTTGATTTTTCTTGTCTTATCAAAATTGACTGTCCATGGGAAGGTTTGTTTGTTTTGAATTTCGCGCAAAGCTACACGAGGGCTATCTGCGCTAGCCGTCCCTAATTTAGCAGTGTAAGACTAGAGGGAAGGCAACTAGTCATCACCACCCACCGCCAACTCTTGGACTACTCTTTTACCAACGAATAGTGGGATTGACCGTCACATTATAACGCCCCCACGGCTAAAAGGGCGAGCATGTTTGGTGTGACGGGGATTCGAACCCGCGCCCCTCAGATTGTGAGTCAAGCGCCCTAACCACCTGGCCATGCCGGGCCCATGGGAAGGTATCTATTTTGTCACGCCAATATCAGGTGTTGTCTAACCCCCTTTTTTAAATTCTTGCATACAGGATGAAACATTACAATCAGGATTTAAGGTATGACCTTAAAAACACTATCATATTTATCTTTCACGGTGAAGATAAATTATGTACATAAGTGAGACATATCGGAATAATTAACAGAACAACGTTTAGACCGTCCTGACAACGGTCATAGTATAATGGCCAAAACGTCGCTGTAATAAAAGGGAATTTTCGTGTCAATGACACGGGTAATCTCATAGGTTGAATATAAAATACCACAGTATAAATGCAATATCTCTAAAACACATTTATTCAAAATAAATCACTAATAATTATTACAGTACGAGTGAGAATCTTAAGTTTTTTAAAGGCAGAACTAAAACAGTTGCCATCAATGGTCATTTCGTGATCGAATATCAATAATATGCCTTAAACAACTAGAAATTATAACTATCCTTTGGGCAAAAGCTATTGACACTTATACTGTCCTTTGGGTAAAACTTATTGACATTTGGCTTTGTCTTTTGGGCAAAGTTATTGACACTTGATACTGTCCTTTGGGTTAAGCTTATTGGCATTTGGCTTTGTCTTTTGGGCAAAGTTATTGACACTTGATACTGTCCTTTGGGTTAAACTTATTGGCATTTGACTTTGTCTTTTGGGCGAAGTTATTGATACTTGATACTGTCCTTTGTGTTAAACTTATTGGCATTTGACTTTGTCTTTTCGGCAAAGTTATTGACACTTGATACTGTCCTTTGTGTTAAACTTATTGGCATTTGACTTTGTCTTTTGGGCAAAGTTATTGATACTTGATATTGTCATTTGGGCAAAAGCTATTGACACTTTATACTGTTCTTTGGGTAAAATTTATTGACATTTGGCTTTTTCTTTTCGGCAAAGTTATTGACATTTGGCTTTTTCTTTTCGGCAAAGTTATTGACACTTGATACTGTCCTTTGGGTTAAATTTATTGGCATTTTACTTTGTCTTTTGGGCAAAGTTATTGACACTTGATACTGTTCTTTTGACAGAAGTTACTGACATTAGATAGTGACCACGAACATTTTATATTGGATATCACCATTTAAAAAAAATCAAATGTAAAATAAATTAGTGGTGCAATATTAGCTTATCCTGGTATACGATTTGAACTGAAAACAAAACACTTAGAAATTAGGTACAAATAAATATCCTACTTTACTTACTTATGCCCCATTTCATGGGCTATAGTGTAGGCCAAAGCGAGACCTGTATCTTCATTCACATTGCAACTACGGTGAGGTTGACACATCCCTGCCACCTCAGCTAGGCCTAATGTGCTACACGGTTCGTTGAGTCTTGTACAAATATTATATCTGTAAAAAAAAAAGGGGGGATATTTTTTGTACGTTTCGGAGTTCTTAGTACGTTGTGAATGAAAATGTCTATGCATGAGTTGTTTGGTTGAAAGACGTTTTTGGGTCAACGTTTCTGCCCGACGTCCAATTTGGCACGAAAAAATATAATATTGTTATTTTATCGTCCTTTAATATATTTTGGTAATAGAAAAAATATCATTAAACAATACCCTTCACTATGATGGTGTATTTGTTTTTTCCCCGCATTATGAAAATCACTTAAATGAGTGCTTATACGTCATTATTAGGTCATAATTCGCATCTTGTGCTAGAATAATTAGCCATCTCATCACGAAGGATGTCAGCCTTATACTTTGAAATCGTTTATAAAGCGGAGAAAACAAATATATATATATATGCATGTTCATATTTTAACAGAGGGTTATCAACGTGTAACTTTTTTAATTAAAAACTTTGCGAGAATAGAAGAATGTATAAAAGAAACTTTCATTATATTCCTTGCAAATCATCACCAAAAAACCTGCTATCTTTTCTGCATATTGCGGTGCTTATAATTAAGATGATTTTAAACACTGTTTTTTTGTATTCATTATCAACTATTATGAGCACAGAAAATTATCCACTGTTAAAAAAGCCTACATCACCATTTACTAAATTAATTACCTTGTAAGAAGAATGGCAACATCGTGATGATTGGGGTGGTTCTCATCTCTCGGGTTTACATATTTCTGCCACTGGCAGAAACTTTTCAATGTCTTCTCCGCATGATGGCTTATATCCAAATCTTCTTCTTGCTGAATCGTAAATAACAGTGTCTCTGTCAATCAATAACTTCAAACAAATATTAACACTAAAGTTAGACATAAATAAATAAAAACGTGGGCAAAAAAAATAAATGTTCATCCCAGTCTTACACGTGTAGATAAACAATAAATAAATATATGTGTGTGTGTATTTATAGGAAGGATGGCGGAAAATTATGCTAATAAATTTATACATTAAAAGTAAACAATTTTATATACATGATTTTGGGACACCCTGAATTTATAAGTTGTAAAAAAATATGTATATTAAATACTCTAGTTAAGTAATAGATAAGAAGAAAAATACACTAAAACTAAGCTACAATGTGAAGAAATACAAGTAACAAACAACTAGGATACGCCAAATCGTTCCTAATCTAAAGTATTTAGTAATAAGTTTGGTGAAAGTTACCGAAATAAGTGAATATGAAGACAGAAAAAAACTATATATTTATGACATTGATTGTTATCTTCTGGAAACGTTGAAATGAATAAAATCTCAACTTAAACCTCAGATCGTCTTCCGTTTCCCACATTATGTCACATAGTTCTTCCCAATTAATGGTTTCCTTAAGCTATCGATATAATCACATTGTATTCCAGAGAGCTAGGTATACATCTAAGAAGAATGTATAACGAAACCGAAACCAAAGCTGACTCAGAAGAGGTTTATTAGATACGTTTTTGTATACAAGAATGATCTCACCTCTTTCTCATCATTCTCGAGCAAAATCATCCTCACCAGAACTACGTTAATGGCATTTCCGATGCTGGCGTCGTGATATAAAGAAGACACCTTTTAAGAGAAAGAGAGAGAGAAAAAAAGGAGATTTATTTTTGTAGTAAAATAATCATGAAACGCAATTAGAGACCGAAACACTGCATCAACTTCCACTTCCTTAATTTAACCATTGTAACGTACTTAATAAATATAAAAACGATTATACATCACTCAATGTTAAGTACCTGAAGAAATTAATAAATAATCTTTACACATTACGTCTTCATCTTGGTTCAATCAATCAGCTAAAAGATAATAATTATGACTTCATACCTAGGTGGAAAATTTGGTTATATTGCATTTATGGCAAATCTACTGAGGGTGTCCACCCATCCACGCTATAAAAAAAAATTTACTTTCACTCTTATAACGCACGGAGTGTTTAAAGTGCGTGGAACGTTTTGTGGCATTTGTGAAATTCGGAACTCTACCAAAGGGCAAATGTACTGAGGGTGTCTCTTATTCTAAACTTCAAACCAGAGGGAAAGAAGCCAGTCAATAGCAGTCCTAAACCACCCATCCACGCTAAAAAAAAAAAGACTTTCACTCTTATAACGCACGGAGTGTTTAAAGTGCGTGGAACGTTTTGTGGCATCGGACGGATTCGAACCCCGCTCATCAGCTCCGAAATTCGGAACTCTACCAAAGGGCAAATCTGCGCTCGATGTTATTGTCTTTCGTTTGTTCGTTGATAAGCACAAAGCTACACAATGGATTATTTGTGCTCTGCCCACCACGGATATCGAAACCCGGTTTCTAGCGTTCCCTTTCGTTTCGCTTAGCTTCTTTAGGAGGAATACACAAGCAGATGAAACAAGGATTAGAGCTCGTTAACTGTGTAACATCGATTGCTTTAATTATTCATGAAACTCCTGGCAGTCAACATTCGCTATCACTGTATCGTTGTTCGAAATCTAAACGGCTCTAGTCTTCGTACTATCAGTTGTGATTTGAGCTTATGTGCATTCCTGAAAAAAAACAACAACAAGCAAAACAAAAGGCAGTGAAAACAAATGTCCTACGGAGTTAAAAGTCGTTATTATTTCTTTCCACTGTATATTCTACATTCCAGTCAGCGTTATACATAAATTAAATGGTAGAAAAACCAATTAACAATTTCTGAATATTCAAAAACCTGACACCCCCCCCTCCAAGTACGACATAATTGGAATTAAGTACTAATGCGTACTATATACTTAATAATATTTTTTTTGTTCTTACGAGCAATTCTAGGAACTTATGAATAAAATCAAAGAATGTACAACAATATGTCAACCATACTATACTTGTTATATCAAGTGCCGACGAGGCCTTTCGTTTAATACCAGGTCGGTTGGGATACTACAGATACAGATGTGATTGAGACGCTATATATATATATATATTATCAAATTGAATAAAGAATAACGTTATAATGTGAAATACATTAAGTTGGCGAAGTAAATTTTATCAAGTTTGTATGAGTCACAAATCAGATTATGTATTAAATGTAAAGTATCAACATTTTTAGATATTGTTCTTAATTTTGAGTTAAAACATTCCAATATAACATATACAGTTGCAGTTTTCCCTAAGTATGTGTAAAAAACTGTGTGCCTGCACCCTCGTATAACACAGCATGTTACTATTGCTAAAACGTAAGTAATTCCATGTACATTTTAAAGCGCAGGATAAAGTTTCATTTAGACTATAACTACGAATTTTCTGAGACGCATTAAATTAATGATTTTTAATCGGTACATCATATCTAATAGTTACAGCTATTGATGAATAAACTTTTTACCGACTGAGCTACAGTATTAACCCATAACTAAACATACCACTAGTTAAGGCTCTTTCTAACAATTTAAAGGCCCGGCATGGCCAGGTGGTTGGGGCACTCGACTGAGGATCGCGGGTTCGAATCCCCGTCCCATCAAACATGCTCGCCCTTTCAGCCGTGGAGTCATTATAATGTGACGATCAATCCCGTTATTCGTTGATAAAAGAGTAGCCCAAGAGTTGGCGGTGGGTGGTGATGACTAGCTGCCTTCTCTCTAGTCTTACATTGCTAAATTAGGGACGGCTAGCGCAGATAGCCCCCGTGTAGCTTTGCGCGAAATCCAAAAACAACAAAACAAACAATTTAAATTACCACAAAACCCGAAGAAACAAGATCTTTGGGTGGCACGTCAGTTTTAATTTTTGGTTAATGTAATTTTCTTAGTATAACCAGATATACATGTGAATTAACTGGAGAAGTATGCCATTGTTGACATTTACATTCTGGAGTGTTTGACTACCAAACTCCGTGAAAGTTAAACGAAACGAATGAATGGTATTGCAAGTATTTAGACTAAAGACCAATGGTTTCTTCTTCATCGGGATTTAGGTCTGAAGGCCTGGGAGGGTCAGGTTCAAATTGACCTCTTCCTCTCTCCTTGGCTATTATTTTAATTTATTTTTGGTGTTATTCAGCTAATGCTTACTTTTGCTGATTTTAAATTGTCTATTATTCAGTCCTTTTCAGGGCCATGTTCATGGATGTTATCTTATGGCCGGTATTGGATTATTGTTATTTTAAATTGTGTATTATTCAGTCCTTTTCAGGGCCAAGTTCATGGATGTTATCTTATGGCCGGTATTGGATTATTGTTATTTTAAATTGTGTATTATTCAGTCCTTTTCAGCGTCATGTTTATGGATGTTATCTTATGGCCGGTGTTGGATTATTGTTATTTTAAATTGTCTGTTACTCAGTCCTTTTCAGGGCCATGTTCATGGATATTATCTTATGGCCGGTATAGGTGAAGCTGGTATTGGATGATTATTACATAGTTGATTCTGTGGTATTTGGACTTACGAATAAGTGTATAATATGTGGTATCGTCGTTTGTTATTAAGCACAAAGCTACACAAAAGATTATCTATGCTCTGCCCACCACGAGTATGGAAACCCGGTTTCTAGCTGTACAAGTCCGCAGACATCCCGCTGTGCCACTGGGGGACTAATATGTGGTATACCGGGGATAAAGTGTGTTTTAGCTATATCTATAAAGAGTGTGAGACCATCTTACTGTTTTGGATGTTATTGTACTCTTGTATAAATTCTAAAATGTATTTTTGATTGTCTCGAATATGGTATTTGTTTCTGTTTCTAGCATGTTTGTTGGTTGACTTATTTTGAGTTGTTGTTTCTGAATTTGTTCTGTTGGCATTTGTGTCTGCTGTGTTTTTGCTGCCAATACATACGTGTTATTTGTGACGAGGATTCGAAAGCGCGACTAGCAGATTGCAAGTTGAGCGCCCTAACCACTAGACCATGCCAGGCCCAGAAACAGAAGTTTCTCTTCACCTTAAAGCATCATAAAGTATTTTAAAAGTTTTTTTTTTTTTGAAGCTAGTTTAAAAAGTAATATAAATTCATTTGGGAAGTTCTATCACGCATTACAAATATAAAAGTAGATTTATGTTAACATGTAATCTAATTCACCACTACATAGGGAGAGTCTCCCTTCACCACTACATAGGGAGAGTCTCCCTTCA